CGCACCGTTTGGCAGCAGCGGAGGTTGAGGTCCTGTCGGCCTTTTTCTGGGCTAGCCAGTCTTTTTGTAGTCCGACAAGCCCGCTCCAACGGCTCGCCGAAATGCACCCTGCCCTGCATTTAATAAAAAACAAATCATAAACGGCACAGCGGACTCCGACTTCCGACGAACCCCCGTTTACACGATCGCACGCTCATTTTTACTCGGCACGATTTTGCCTCACGAACCTCGTTTAAACATTCCTTTTCGATTTCGAAGGCTTTCTATGTTCAGCCTTCTAGGGGAGAGCTTTGTAGCGCCCAAAAACATAACTCTTATCTTCATGTACAATTTACTTGTTGACCGATTGTACATTACTCCTTCTTGTTTTAATCTTCCTTACAACTGGCTCGACACACAACTGCCTTGTAAGTTCCCGCGCTCCCGTGTTCGCTCTTTTCGCGCTTCATTTGTCCGCTTCTTATTGTAGCCCATCGAATACAAACCGCTGTGTCCGACTCCCATTGCCTTCTGATATCCGCGCTTACTTTCGCGCACTGTCTCTGACTAGTATTAACTAGTCCTACAAGGGACAACCAAAAGCACCCACATCAACTCTCAAACCGACAGTCGCTAGGTAGAACCAACGTGCGTTAACGCATGCGTAATAACGTTTCCGTGACCAAATCTGGCCCGATAAAGGGCAAATTGCTAGGTGCTCGCAACCAGTGTTATGCCACCTGCGATGCGATTGGTATTCAGGTTGAGTCTACTATGCCGAAACGAGTAGCATGCCGTATAACTACAATGCAATAGGGCGAACTTTGACTTCTTTGAGAACTCTGAACTTGGCTGTGAACAGTTCGTCTTCACATCTCATCGAGCAGGGTGCGCATATTATATGATCTTCATTGGAAACGTCGCTCAAAGGAGTCGGATAACCAAGGCGGCCCACCTAAAGGCAATTCAAAAAACATATTTGTGCATGGTGTTCCTGAGTTTCCGGATTCTCTTGATAACAAAGAAGAAACACCTGACTGAAAGCATTGGTGCTAACTCCGCGAAGCCCTGTTTCTGGCCAATGTTATCGCTAAATAATTGAAAAGAATTCCTTTCTCACCTAACTATAAGGGTTGCGGTCCAAGGTTAATGGATGTGGGGGTACACTCCAAAGGAATGGCACTAGTCCTATTGGACAACTGGTTGAATTTTCACGCAAGGTTACTAACCGCGATCCGGCTAAAGGCAGCAGGCGCATGTCCACGAGTGTTTAACAATTCGATGAAACGCAATCGTAGTAAATTTGTCTCCACCGACACAACGGTACCCCAGGCACACAACAGGACCGAGCGAAGTATGAGCGATCATTCTGCTCTCGACTGAACTTCATAAACCAACGATCCACCGAAAGACGATTAGTCGCTGAGCAGCCAACGTTTGTCTTAAAAGCAAACACGAATTTGACATCTAACAACGCATTCCTAACATCAGAAACACTATCCTAATTGTACACTAATGCCCAAGGCTTTATTAGTACGTTGGCCGAACTTAGAGAATACCACGTCTCACAATCACGGAACTTCGGCATGATTACAGGGACCTGGTTAAAGCTCGGGATAACCAATTCTGAGATCCTTTTACTTGACCTATCGCAGCTTCGGGATGACAGAACTGGTAGGTGGGGGTGGTGTATTTCTGCATTACAAGCTGAGCTCTGATGTTAAGCTAATGACTACCCTTAAATTCGCGCCATTGTTTTGCTTTTGCATCAACTATGGTTACAGGACAAGGACAAGTCGTTCAGCCACAAGTAACCACCCGTCGAACTCTACTCCCCAAAATGGGTTGCAAACTAAACAACGTTTTGCAGGTTGTTTTTAACAAAACATACAGCCACATTCTTATCGCTGGAGGCATTAATGTGCAGGAATTGGAAACGCCAGTAACCGATGGTGCACAGTGTAAAGCCTGTTTGCAAGAGGCCATTTCCATCTACCCTATTTAGCACCATGTAACCTCTGCCACCAGATTTATAGCTGCTAACAGGTTGTCAATACTTAGGCGTTTGTTCACCAACGATGAACTTATGGTCGAGAGAGTAGCTACAAGTACGCCGTTGGGTCGCAGTAACGATATAACGCTACTGTTCTAGTGTATGGTATGCGGAATATTCTTAAGCGAAGGATGGTGGAGTATATACTGTAATGCACTACAGCGTGTTATCCACGCTTGTTACCGAAATACCTTGGAGCTTCCTAACTGATTACCCCCAGAAGTCGCCTGGAATGCTTTCCCAGTAACATGTAGATCACTGGTAGCGCACGCATCGGAACAGAAATCTTTCCATTGCCAAAGCAAAAGCAACTAATTTATGAGGAACGGAAAACTTATATGCATGTCCTTGAGGGACTTGGAAAGCCGAGCTAACAAGGGCTCCCTGGATGTCAAAAGGTGGACTGCATACCTGGCACAGCGTAACTTCTGTGTGAACTTGATGCGCCAGGACAAGTCCACACTTCAGCAGAAGTTAATGTAGTGATTCTACTTGAACCGAAAACTCTTATACAGGCACGTTAAGCGTCTTTGTAAGGTCTTGCGCGGAGTCTCAGCCCTGGTCATGGCTGATGAGTACAAACGGTCAGAAATGGAGGCAGCCGATCTTTTATGACTTTATTACTTCTATGCGTTCCAGTAGGTGACGAGCAGAACTATTCTCATCCTTTCTATTATTCCACTGTCAGACTTACCCAACGACACCCTCACTGCAACGGTTGTGTTGCGTACCCACAGTTCTCCTGGAGATGATAACACCCGATTGAAGGCTCGGCAAACACTAGCTAGTAATCTAGCGGAAACACCGTTTTCTATCAGAGCTGTCTAGAGAAGAACCAAAATCCACAAGGGTGGCATCGAGTGGTCATGACTTATATTCATAAGGGAAGTAATTGGGCTGACCCTGCCACTTACCGTCCGATAACGCTGCTTCCTGTGGTTTCCAAACTTATGACATCAATCATCTCTGGTGCAGTACCTAGAGAACCACATTTTAATAACCGGAGTAATATGACTTTTGCCATAATCGCTGCAATTCTATCAACCTAATATTTGCCTGCAATAATTGGACTGAAGTAGTTGATAGTGGAGCAGGGGTCGATATCAATTAGCTGGAATTATCAGATGCGTTCGGTCGTTTAGACTACTACATTCCTTTCCATAAACTTCAGAACTACGGCATTGGCGACCTAATCCTGCTTTGGATAAGCAACTTTTCATACGAAAGCCGGTTGGAGATGAGAGTCCGGGAATCTCTGTCTGAGACAATTTAGGTGGAGTGCGGTGTACCTCAGTGCTATGACTTCGCTTACTCTTGATTTTCATAAACGACCTTACGATATCATTTACTTCCGGTTTCCTATACTTTGCAGGTTATATCAAGGTAACTCGAGCGATCAGAGGAACGGACGACCACGAATATGTCCAGTGCGGGCTTAACACGATTTCGAACTGGTCACTTCAAAATACCCTATCATTCATCGTAGGTAAATGTCGCGTTATGCAATTACGCCATAGACATAACTACACGTAGTGCCTTGAGTCACACAAATCGCAGACCAGCTCTCGGGAACGTGACATCGGTGTGCTTGTACAAAACGACCTCAGCTGTGCAAAACTGGCTGAAGCACCTGCGCAAAGAGGCAGCAGCACGTCGGCCTGCTGCGAAACGCATTCGGGAGATGGGACACATCAAATTTCCTGATGATGTGCAACTCTCACGTGTGCTCTCGCGTTGAATACACTAACCAAGCTTGTCAACCATGGTTGAAACGCAACTTTAAAATGTTGGAGACACCACAACGCAGAGTAGCAAATAATGTCAGTGGCCTACGCAATCTGCCTTACCAGCGCAGCCTGAAGTTTCTGGGCGTTTTCAACGGACGCTGCCGAGGGCTACGCGGCGATCTCATATTAGTTGCCAAATATTGTGTAACTCCAACTACGTATTGTGCCATTTGATAAACCTTAGTCAAGACACCAAGCTCAGAGATAACTGCCTGAAACTGAGAGGACAATACATCCGTCTAGAGTGTCGCGCGAGTTACTTTTCTCTTCGGGTTTGCTAATTCTGGAACTCTCTCCAAAACTCATTGATCATAGTTACCTACATTTCGTTACCAAAGCTGCTCTATTTCGGATTATATTAATCATGCTTTTCTACCGAATTTATGTGTCACATGAACCAAAGGAGGCGGCGCATGTGAGAACGGCCATATTTTACTTTTCTTACGCTTTACGTCAACGATCACCACACCTCATGTACCTCTGTATGACTCACACGATTTTTCTCTTAAACTAACGTTACTTATCAACGCAGTTAACACGGTAGACGCGCGGTAGACTACTCCCATGTTTTTGATTTTGTAATATTCACCGCAACCATGCTACGGACTCGTCAATCACTTGCTTTTTAATCCGCGATAAATAACGGGTCATTGATCATACACTCGCTTAATTTACTGGACGTCGTAGATAGATATCTAGAACTTGAAATCAGCAAGTGCGACCGCTATCCTACTCAAAAGTGCCACTCCGTCTCATTCTGACATTTCACCTTCAATTAGCCAATCATCCACAAACTGAATCGAAGGGGTTCATAGCAGAAACAGCGCCTTTGCGACTGTTATGTTATCTTCTCGCTTATTCCTGATGCGTAGCGGACATATAGTGCCAACTGTAGACGGTGCCGCTAAGACCATTCTTACGTTCATTCTTTTAATCGCCACACGATAACTCAATGTAGCGGGAAGCGAAAGTGGGTGAAGTTGGCCACACTATGTGGAGCATGTCAGGGCTAATGTGACAATAACCGACAGACAATAAGGGAACCATCTGATCATCTACGCGTACCGGTGGCTTTCTAACCTACAACAAACTTTGTGAGACTTTGAAAATAGAACATCAATCATCTGGATGCTATTGAAAAGGTATTCGCCATTATTTAGTTAAAATAAATTCACAGATACTTACCTGTTAGTCTGAGCAACGGGGCATTGCGCCGACACGTACTTCATGCACGAAGCATCCCATCTCTGCAGAGGTTGTTGTTGTTGTAGCCATGTTTGCAAACATTGTAAAGCACTGGAACACGGCGACACCTCTGAACTGCTCACGGATGCGTACCTTTTGTCCAACAAATAGACAGGCGATTCATCTGTTATTTCCTTCACTTCGAACGCAACTTGATTTGTGTCCGTTTGACTGCAGTATGATCTACCTGATAGCCATGTTACCGTGCTCTTCTCTCCAGAAACTGCTCCATCACTGACGGCAGCTGTACGCTCATTGTGCAAAGATGAACTGGACGGAGACGGCGAATCAAAGGTACGCTTAATATCGAAGCGGAACAATGGATTTGCGTACTTTTCTGCTTCGTTATAATATTCCGCCGTTGTAGCATGTTGACCAAGCCACGACAGGGACGATAGCGAATGGCATGGTGGGGGATATGTTTCTGTCGGCTGGACAACGCAGTTCTCGGGAAACGGGGGTGAGGTGACCTCCTCGGATAGATCATACTCTGTGTGCAGAGGGGAAACAGATATGAAACCGTGTGGGGTAACCGTACCACAAACTCTGGATATTATTGAAACATTTCGGAATCCCACCAGACTGTTATCAACTGGTTAGAATTATCCCTTTTACCTACAAGTGGCTACTTAGATGCAGCCTGTAACTTTTGTGGTAGTAAATAGTAGGTGTTGACCAATGTTTTAGGCACTGCAAAAGAACTTTAAGCGCGGAAATCTGGAGCGAAAAATGTCACCACTACGATTATTTGTCACAATCCTTGTGTGGATAAATGATTGGTAAAAGCCACACCGTGCGTGGATAAAACAACAAGCATGCAGCGAGTAACAAGCATCAGAAGGCTTGAAGGTTCGATGAACACACCCCTTGTAAACCTTTTAAATCTAGATCTTCTCACCGTAAAATGCTGCTGAAGCACATATCATTTGCGCACTGTACAGCTATGGCAGTACGGATGCCCTTGCAAGCACTTTCGTGTGTGTGTACTAGGGGTAAAAAACAGGTCTTCTGTAGAACTTTCGGTCATCGGGCCTTACTACTCAGCCTTAGTCTACGGTGACAATTCAGTTGGTTATTCACACTCATACGTATATCAAGCCATTATGCAGCGGATTTCTTGACACATCCCAACTTGTTAGTGGATCTGCTGGATGTTAACACGAAGCTCTCCGTTCCAGGTAACATAGTGTGTACACCATCCATCTGCCCCATAACCCTTTTGCCACAAAACACTTCTCCATAGTAGAAGCTCCTTCATAGATTTCTAGATCTATTAAAATCAAAGTGTAATCAGCTGCATACCACACATTCTGTATGTCACCACATCACCACCAGTGGTATTCCAGATTACTCCCGTCCGCGACGACTACATCCCGAAAGACTCAAAATAGCTAAGGATGAGTTGCTACTTATGCTTCCTTTAGGAATAATTCGATCATCGCAAAGCATGTGGACATCACCGTTGCATATGGTAGTAAAGAAAACAGTATCCGATTGGAACCCTGTGGCGACTGCAGAGCACTTAACCGCATCACCGTTCCTGATAGGTACCCCTTTCCACACATTCATGATTTCTCTACTCATCTTCACATATTGACCTCATGCGCGCTTATCACCATATGCATATTTATCCTGGTGATATTCATAAGACAGCTATCACAACACCATTCGGTTTGTAAGAATGGTTACGCATGCCATTTGATTTACGTAACGCTTCACAAAAGTTCAATTTTTTATTGATGAGGCACCATCAGTCCTACCTGTTGTTTTTGCTTTCTGCAAATCCTGTGGGATGAGCAAGATGGAAACCATAAATGGCAAAATAAAACATGGTGACAATCTCGAGCTTTTTCGGGGACTCATCATAACGCTCACACTAAGGTATACTTAAAGCAGCCGACTTTGATTGCGATATGTCGCAGTTAGCTTGTAAATCGTGACTATTCACCGCTATCTCTAGTGGCTCAGTGGCATAAGAGGCTGGCTAGCGTTTAAAGTCGTTAGTGGTCATGGGTTCGATTCCTGATACAACCAACTTTTGCGCACCAATGACGAGTCTCTATACGCCGAAACGGACGTCTGGTGCTCGTTTGGGTCCATGTGGGACTATCTGATTTGCTAGCTGCCGCAACGAACTCCCAAATAACATAAATATGTGAAAATAACATACTGTCTTCAAAGCATGCATCTTGTAACAACAGAGTTGGAGAGAACATCTTACGTGTGTAAGTTAATTGCCAAGTAGGGATTATACGGGCGTCGGTAACCCGCAGAAGTGACATCAGTTTGCTTGGCCATAATTGCGCGGGACATTTGTATGCATGTTTGTGGCATAGCCCGCCCCCAGATGGGATAAGGCCGTTGTTTATGCATAGGAGAAAAGCGATTTCTTAAGTAGCTGTCCTACATAAACGCTGAACCGTCACTTATTCGTGCACAGCACGACTTGTTCAAGAAGTAGGCCTTCAGATTGCACTCATCAGCAGCCTCGACGGCACTCAGTCGTGTTTTCTCGCTGGAAATTCACCGTTCCGTATTTGCGAAATGCCGATGAATGTCTATTGTTGGTCTCGTGGAGGATACAGTGACAAGCAAATCCGGACACGGATACCACCAGTTCATATATCGGTACAACATTAATAGCTTTATAAATGGGTCTCTTGGTTCTGACAAATTTAAGAATTTATGGTTCACTGACTGCGCCTGAAGTGTCAGGTCCTTCTTCAACAAACGTACTATCATCATTTTTCACACGCTGTTTAATCCCAACATTTAAATCTTTTAGGTACGCTTCGTAAGATGATCAGCCATCCGTTTATCTGCTCAGTAACATTTGCTTTCATGAGAGGATTTTTCTAATTCCCAATCAAGTTGTTTGAAAAGCTCGTAAGGACACTTCTGAACGTTTGAGTTGCTTAATCCTTCTTAGCACGACTTTCCTAAGGGCTATTCTTGCCATACTAACTTGTTAACGACTTGTGTACACTGGGCCAAAGCCGTTGATTGCGGGAAGGCAGTGGACGTGCTGTGCATTGACTTTTCCAAATATTTTGACATCGTTCCACATTCGCACGTTTTGCACAAACTGAAGTCCTACAGTATTTCTGGACTAGTCTTACGATGGATTTCAGCTTTCTTAATCGGAAGGGAAAGGTGTGCGGGTGGGTTTCAGCCTGTGCTACCGCCAATTTGTACTCAGTGGAGTTCCACAAGGTTCAGTCTTTTGTCCCTTTCTCTTCACTTTATACGTTAATGACCTACCCGATGAATTGGGTGTGCCATCCCTGATGTTTGCAGATGACTTGAAACTCTGGTTCACGATAGACGATCCGGTTGGTCCACTGACCATACAGAGGGCTCTGGATAGACCTTGGGACTGGTCCCTTTTGTGGCAGTTGCCCGTTAATTTAGCGCAATGTTCATATTTACGCATAGGTCCGAAAGACCTGCCGACGCGTTATTTGTTTGGCAGCAACGACATACAGCGAGTTCCACTCCAATCTGACCTCGGAATTTCGCTGTCATCAGACTTCAAGCCCAGTGAATACTAAGCGACATTTGCTCGCAAAGGTTTCAACAGTTTGTGCATTATGTGTAGGTCATTCATGATCATGACCACCGAAAGGTTCGTTAGACTATTTTCGGCTTTTGTAGGGCCGCACTTGGAATAGTGCGTTTAGAGTTGTTCCCCTTGTCTGGCTCGTGATAAGATAGCAGTTGAACGAGTCCTGCGGTCCGGGACCAAAATTATACACGTATTAGAGAAGCTGACGTACCCAGAGAGGCAGTGGTGTCCCTGCCTTGTCTCTCTGTGGGCACTAAGATCTAGTTTACGTAGACTTTGAGAAAGTTAGCCTTTTGCTCCATCAATACTCCTTTGCCTACTCGACCGACCTGCCATCTGGACTGCAGACCGACTGCTTAATCTACGCGGACGTTCTGAAGCTGTGGATTGAGGTATCCAGTCTGGAAGACGCAGAGAGATTTCAAGCGACACTCGATCTGCTCCATGATTGGTCAATAAAGTGGCAGTTGACCATTAAAAGTGGCAAATGCACTGTCCTTTCAACCGGTGCTCCTGAGCCTTTTGGGGTTTACCATATCGGGGGTTTCTTGCTCAGAAATGTCAATCACGAGAGGGATCTCGGGGTGATTGTGTCTCCTGACCTCAAATCAATCGAGGAAACCCGGAAGAGGGTCGCGTCCGCCTACAGAATACTTCACGCTATACGGAGAGCTTTCTTACGCCTGACTCCAACACTCTTCAGATTACTGTTGGCTTCACATGTGCGCCTAATGCTCGTGTACGGATTGCCTGCTGCGCATCCACTCACCAAGTCCGAACGTGACATGATCGAGAAGGTTCAGCGGCGTAGATCCAAATCCCTTCCAGAGCTACGGGACTTATCTTAGCCCCTACGGCTTCAACGGTTGAATCTGTTTCCTTTGAATTATCGTCGTCGCCGCGGAGATATGATATTCACTCGGCGTATTCTACGAGGGGAGCTGAAGAGTGAGCTGCAATCGTTCCTTCGTCTCAACACAAAGTGTGCAACCCGAGGCCATCGGTGGAAACTTTTCAAACCGCGGCGACTCCGTGTGCGGTCCGATCTGGCCCTATCCACCCGGATAATGAATGACTGAAACAGTTTGCCAGAGGCCGTCGTCGATGCGGAGACAGAGGAATGTTTCAAACGACGGTTGGATTCCCTCTGGGTGCGCAGCGATTTTGCTGCCCCCATCCAACCACAGCGGTCTTTTGCGGAACCTTGTTCCGCAACGATCCCATAAACCTTCGCAAGGATCGGGAAGTGACGGAGCTGACAAAGGAACTTCCTTCTGCTCTCTACCAACCACTGACCACTGACCGGTTACGGGCTTGCTCTGCTCAAATAACGAACTCAACAAGTTCAAGCGGTAGAACGCAGCGCCGGGTGACAACGGCGAATGGCCCCAAGTAGCAAACCGCATGCAAGCACATGGTGTTCGAACGCTCTATGTTATCACTACTTCTGCGGCCAGCATTTTCGGTTAGCTCTAACTCATTAGATCTTTGAGACAAGTCAATAGGGTGGCGTTTCTTAGTAAACTCAGCATCTAACTGTGCTTGGCAGCAGGACATTTTCCATTCCCTCAAGAGGAACTCTGCGCGGGCAGGACAAGACCCAACTTAGACTAAATGGAACTGTTGATTCACTCTCCAACACCATAAAAATAGGGGGTTAATGGCTTGGCAGAACTGTTGCGATTGGTTACCGGGAGCAAATGTCTGTCAAACGATGCACGGGACTCGTGTGCGAATAAAACTGCGTGTCACCAAACCCACCGTGAATTTCGGTCGTGTGTTCCTATTACAGCCGTGTCCTTTCGCGTGCCGTATCCTTACTTGCCTAACGACTATAACTGTTACATTCTAATTATATGCTTATATGATTGTTAATAAACACGGTTGAGATTTGGTACAGTATAAGTGGTAACCTTGTTTCACTT